AATATGATAATAACCTTCAATCTCAAATACGTAACGTCGATTTCTTTGTTGAATACTGCGAATTGGAATTTCCCAGATTCGCAAACGAACTCAGTTGGAATCGGAATTTCTTCGCTGTTCATGCAATTGGAATTGAAGTTCTGGACTCGCAATCACAGCCGACATTGAAGGACTCGGAATCGATATCACAGTTCCCAATCGATTTTCGTAAATCAAAATCAAAATGTGACATCGATCAGACATAGGATGTCACATTTGAAGTCGGAAGCTTTTGAAATTGGAACATATATTCTAATCGGAACAGTTCGCGTCTTGATTATCAGTATTACAAAGAAATGGAAATCGGGATTTCAAGGTTTCGAAATTGAAATCGGAATTTTTGTTGGAATGAAATCAAAATCGGAATTGCACGCTTCAAAGTCGAAATCGGAAGTATATGATGATTTGGAATTGATAACTTGAATCGGAAGTATCATGTTTTTAAACATTTTAAAAAGTTAACTCGTATGCACTCCAACTGTTTGATGAAATGCATAAACTAAATTACCACGTTATATCACATATGAATGTGTTTTCTCACCTGAATCATATATGATTATTAAAAACACAAAACAAATATGCAAGTCTGTATGTTATTCATATATATATAATTTTTATATGTCATTCACTGATGAATATTACACAGTATATTCACATATGAATATTACAAGGTGTTTTCACAAATATATATAATTTTTATATGTTATTCACATATGAATAACATATAAAAATTATATATATTTGTGAAAACACCTTGTAATATTTATATGTGAATATACTGTGTAATATTCATCAGTGAATGACATATAAAAATTATATATATTTGTGAAAACACCTTGTAATATTCATATGTGAATATAATATGTAATATTCATAAGTGAATATATCATCTATATTCACAAGTGAATATACTATGTAAATTCACATGTGATATACCATGTAATACTATGTAATATTCACATATAAAATATCATCTAATATTCAAAAGTGAATATATCATCTAATATTCACAAGTGAATATTTATGTAATATTCACAAGTGAATGCATCGTCTAATATTTAAATATGAATATACTATGTCTATATATATGCTATATTCATATACGAATGATACTTAAATTGTAAAAAAAAAATTAATCATACTTTTTATTCATAAGTGAATAACGAATGTATTGTAGTAAAAACCTGATTCATTTTTATTCACTTATGAATAACGATAGCTGATAATATAAAAAAAATAAATTTTTTATTTTATCTTAAAACTATATCAATATAGATGTCTATTTGTAGAGAATAAAAAATCATGAATTTTGGTATATTTAAAATCATTTTTCGATAAAAATAGCTTCTTAAAAATTTTTTAAAAAAATGAAAAAACTATGTTTTTGTATATATTAAGGTAATGATTAGCATAGTTTAAGGAAACATGTTTTGTTGGAAAACACATGTTTATTCCTTTCCCATTTCCGCTGGTACGATGGAGGCTTTTGCGGCAAAAATAAATGAGTAGCTGAGAATGATTCCTCCATTCTCAACCTTTTTAATGCGATATTGATTGAAAAATATGATTACATGGTTGGTGTTGGGCTTAAGTTTCCATCTTAGATATATGATTATGGAATCACGTGTTTGTTGTTTGAAATGTTTAACATGCTATGTGACTTAGCTTGTAAAAACTCCAAAATGATTGATATATATTTTTTTCGGAGAATCTTTGAAAAAAAGTTCTTTATATTTTGGTTTTACTGATAAAAAAAGTTATTATTATTATTATTATTATTATTTTGCACTTTAACCATTAAAATCGGTAAACACTTGCAAAATAATATTTATAATCGATTAGGGACGGTTTTAAAGGTTAATTTTAAAAAAAAAATCATAGATGACTTTGGTAGTAAGGTTAAAGTTTAAGGACTTTTCTGATTTTTTTATTAAAAAAACACAATAATGATAATTTATATATTATTTTTAGAATTTTTTGTGATTCTCTTTAATAAATATCATTAATACAATCATAAAAATACGATCTATATCCTATATAACTTAAGAGGATTTTGTTGATTTGTCGCAAAAAAAATGCATTTCTAGGACAAATGTTACTTTATTGTTGAATTTTTAGGTCTTGGGTGTAAAACGTTAACATAAAACTACAATTTACCGAAGATCCTTTCACAACCGAACGACACATTAGAAAATAAAGGCTTATCAAATGTTGTTATTACTAAATAGAGCTCCATTATATACATTATGTGGCCTAGAAACGCATTTCTTACGATAAATCAATAAAAGTCAATTTTTATGTTCATTAATGTCTCATATTTGTCAAAAAAAAATCATTTTTAATATTTTATCAGGTTTTGCACACCGGTCACCATTGCCATAAAAATCCTCATATTTACACATCACCACCACCACACTCTGTCACCACCCCCACCCTTTGCCACCAACAACACCATCTTCACCACTAAACACTGGTAACCCCCATAAACACCATCTCCGATACACCTTCTGCATTTTTCATATCCGATCCACCATCATCACCATCGTTCACCTACTATCCTTTCTTTGCACAACCTGATAAAAAGCAGAAAATGACAAACTTATCGAAATATGAGGTATTAATGAACACGAATTTGGACTTAGGACTTAGGACATAGGTCACATATATCATGGAGCTCTATTTAGGAATTGTATTTAGATGGTATTTTTTATGTTTATAGTAACGATATTTATTAAAGAGAATCACAAAAAAAAATCTCAAAAATGATATATAAATTATCATTATTGTGTTTTTTTAATAAAAAAAAATATGAGTTTTTTTTTAGTGAAAAGAATATAGATGGTATATTTTTTTTTTTTGGAACGACAAATCTAACCTACTCCTAAACTACACATTAAATCCACATATGTCCACGACGGGAGTTGAACCCTCAACCTCAAGGAGGGAGGGCAACATCGGATACCGCTGGGCTAGAAGCCCTTTGGAAATATAGATGGTATCTTTATTTTATGTTTTTTTAATAAATAAATATAAGTTTTCTTGAAATAAATTTAGTATATATATAAAAAAAATCTCCTAAAAAGTTCTTAAACTTTAACATTATTAACGAAAAAGTCATCCATTTTTTCTTTTTTTTGTAATTAACCCTTAAAATCGGCATTAGCCGGGTACAAGGATTAGTTTTGTAAGTGTAATCTGGTTTCAAAAGTTAAATTGCAAAAAATAAAAAAAATAATAATAATAAAAATAGAGGTGCCTTTTTTATCAATAGAATCAGATACAGAGACTTTTTTTTTTTTTAGATTTTCCTATTTTTTTGTTATGATTTATGAAATTGAAATAGAATTCCATTAAAATAGATGAATGATTTCAAAATTATATGATAGTTGCTATGGTTTAGCGTTTTTAATTTGTATGAAATTAATTGTTGGACCAGAAAACAAAGTTGGTTACTAGCTATATTTCAGAAATGGTTTATGGACACAATAGCTTTACTTTAATATTTTGTACGCGTAAAATGGAATTTGCGTGAAGAAGATATTTATCGTCAAAATATTGTGCTTGAAATAAATATTGGGAAAATTAAAAGCTTGTTTCATATAGAAAAAGTATGAAAGTTTGAACCACTTTATATATGGTGGCATTAGAGTAAGTTTTAAATAAAAATAAACATATTAGGTTTCTCTAATAGTATACCCAAAGGTCATGCAAAATCGATGGAAAAAAATGCATACAATTTTTGCTCAATGTCTATAAGTTTTATCATATGGTTTTGTGTCAATAATAATGACTCTTTCATAATGGATGGAGGTTTAATTATATAGACTTATGCCCATTATAATTAGAATAAATGTTTTAATGTATATAATAGGAGTTTATACTACAAGTGGAAAGCTAGAAGAAATATGACTTATGATCAAGAGTTGTGAGTTTATAAACACGATGTAAAATGGAGACACAACTTGCAACAAGAAAGATCACAAAAGAAATTGAGAGGAGTGAGGAGACGGTTGAATAAAGTGTATGCTCTAGCTCAAAGTTGGAAGATGGGTTTACAAAGTAATAACAATGGGGAGATTATATTCACTTATGAAGATCTATAAGACATATCAAGATTAACAAAAGCATTGGAAAGCTGATTTGGATTTTGGAACGTGTGTTATATGGCATGTCATGCTTTAAGCAAAAACAACATGACCTGCAACTATTCTGTGATTTTGATTCTTGACATTTGTTATTTATACGACTACAAACAATTTTGATGACTATCTTCTCTACAAAGAACGACATGTTCTGAAAATCTCACCTCGCATCATGTCTATTGGGGTGTGCTCAACAGTGTATCGCTCTGGCCCTAAATACATCCCTGTTTTTTCTAGAATCCCAACCCCTTCGTCCCGCCCATATCTTGAACTATACAGCTTCAGATACTCGATGTCCTATCAAAAAACAAAAACAATTCACTGTCACTGTTACTGTTACTGATACTGTTATTAAACAATTCACTGTCACTGTAACTGTTACTGTTACTGTTACTGTTACTGTTACTGATACTGATACTGATACTGTTATTACTGTTGTTATTACCTGTAAGCCACTCAAAAGGCGTTCTAGCCTAAGAGAAGCTACCGGTTTTCATGTGAGGATGAGAAAACTTCACCAGGGTAAAACAATACTCCATCACCTGGAGGGAGTCCACGCCTGAATTTGATCTGTAGATATATATACACAAAATAAGTCTTTTTTTGGAAAATAAGAAAGGGCTAGCGAATGATGACGTGACATGCCAACATGTACATAGTACATACCTCGGCACTGGCGACAGTTGCCTTGTCGTAACAGTTGGCACCCCAGTAGAGAAACCCGGTCCCACCTTCTTTCCATACACGCCACATCACTGCACGGTGCTGTGTGCCCCGCATACCCAGGTGCCAGTTAGGATGAGGGTCAGGTGGTCCCATGCACACGTATGTCCACCATTCCTGTTAATATAGTATTATACATCCCATTACTTTACTCATCATCATCATCATCATCATCCACATACTAATAATAAATAATAAAAAACATCAATAAATAAATGATTGGGACAATACAAATAATTGAAAAGTATTATATCATATCACCTCATTGTTTTCTGGCTGTATCTCTGCAATTATATCCTTCACCATCTCTTCCCGATTACCAATCACCCATTCACTGAATTGAAAAAAAAAAATTCTCAGTTTATTGAATATAATTGAATGGAAATAAGTAAAAGAATGTTGTTATTAATTAATTACCTTGTACAATATATTTGTGTATGAGGGCGTAGGTACCCTGGTACCTTGAGAAAGTTGTCTGGGGCAAGAGGGGCATCACTCGGACCTGAATAAAGCTAGAAAACTAGTCTCAGATCCTCTCTAGGTAGCATAAGGGTAGAACAGTAATTTACCAATCAATTATCAAATAGTCTACCCGAGTAGTATGTAGTCAATACACGGGCATCGGGTGCATACGCATGAATCTCACTAGCTTGGTGGCGAATAGCATCATACTGTTGCACATTCAGTGGCTGCAACAATAACACACGTATTCCAAAATGAGACAAAAACATTAAAAAATATATATATCTGCTTCAAGTGTTAATACCTCATCCCATAGGTAGAAGTAAGCTTTCTTCCAATGACTTTTTGATCTCAAAATCTCAACCTCCTTCTGCAGATAATCCTTTGTCAAATCCCCACTGTTAAAAATCAAGAATCCCATCAATAATACATGATAAGAAACACCAAAAACCACTTAAGGGATATAAATAATTAAATACATACCAAGGGACTACAGGACTATATGGCACAGCATAAGCTGCAAGGCGAGGATCTGAGAAAAATTCATCTGATTTTGGATGATCAGCTACACAATAGAGTAAAAAAAAAGTTTTGGATCAGTATTATGAACACCAAATAATACTTACAAAAAGAAGCAGATTAAATGAATGATTAGTATACCAGGCCATGGAGATGTGTAAGTCAAAACACGCATGCTGTTACCCCATTTGCAGAAGTAAGGACTGATTTTATACTGAAGAAGCCACTTAAAATGTTGTTCTAATGCATCATACCATTCAGCACTTCCATGTTTAACACCAAAACGATCTTCAATTACAGTATCCGATATCTTACATGTCATTAAGGATGTAGACATTTGCAAAAAAAATTAGTCATGAAACAAAACTGAAGGAATTTAGGATACACCAATGACAGCTGGAAGCGAGGGCGTTTCCGGAAGAACAAAGTCCCAAACAGTCAAACTTAGCTTCACACGTATTGAAAGGTTTGCATCTTCATCCATCATATCTAGGGGACCATTTTCTGAAAAGAATTCAGAAAATGAAGGTGATAGAAGAACTCTTCTCAAAGTTGTATTTGCAGATTTCACTCTTTCTACCTGACAAAAAGAAAAGATTCCATCTCCATCAACAGTTCATTACAAAAATTGTTAAACACAAATGATAAACAATCCTAATCTCACCACTTCTTCAACTGTTTTCCCATCAATTGGCTCAATGACATCAAGACAGTTTTTGAGTTCCCTGTATAGTTGATGTTTCTCAGATTTACCAAGAAATTGTGCTGCACATCTGCAAAAATTTTAAACTGAACCAATATAGATAAATCTAATATTGAATTATTGATTAAACTTGGCTACATGATTAGTATTAGCATTAAAGATAGTAAGTTCCATAGATTTTCATTCAAGTTTCAACAACTAATAATTAACTGAAAAAAGAGGGTAGGCAATCACTCTGCATCTGCTTTGGTAGCAGTAACTATAAATTCTCCATCATATTGTCCTGGAGGTTGTGTGATTGGAACATCAACAGAAACCCAAATGGCAGATGTTTCTCTGCAGAAAAAAAAAAAAAAAACATAATAGTCGAATCAAAAGACATTTGACTAAAAAAAAGTCAACACAAATGTAATCAATACCCTGGAAGCAGATTTATCTGTGAGACTGGCATTTCAATTGGTACAAGTGCATCTGGAACACCCAAAATAGGGACCACACGTCTCAATGTAACTGATTGACCGATGACTAACCTGGTTACAACCAATCTTAGTAATAATTTTAATCCAAAAAAAAATGATTAATATTAAGATATACATTTCAAGAAATACTAACCTGTCACCAGAAGTAGAACAAAGATCAGTACATTGAATCTGTACAACCCCAGCAATATTGGTTCCACTCCAAGAAACTTTAGGACGTATAGCAATTTGAATGCTTTCCCTCTCATTTCTTGCAGCTAAAAGAGATACCTTCAAGATAACGGTATTTATGAAGATAAAGAAACTTAAAATGCTTTTTAGATATCATTCTGGTCTTTGATTGTTTGATAACTGATAAAGAATTACATTTCATTAGACATTAACAGTGGATGAAGCAAGAAAGCAGCAAGGCAGTGGTTAGACACTTACAGGCTCTAATGGTCGAGGCATTTCTTGAGGTCCTACATTTGCAGTGCTTGGCATACTCCATACATGTACTAATTCAGAAGATGGAACTCTGGTAGGATCAATTGTCCCTCTCAGTAGACTTTGATCCTGTATTTGTAAGCTACCATCACCCCATCCATATGCTGTCCCACCCCCAGCAACGCCTTCAACTGGAGGAACCATGTCTTGGGGATTCTCTGTATCAGAGTATGCACAAATATAACACATCAAACAACCATAAACAGAAAAGCATTATGTTTAAGAGCATACATAAAAAAAACACATTAAAGGCCCGATTCTGAAACCCCTGTAATACATTGCCCGATTTGGGACAAACCACCATAGATCCCACTTCATCTCCAATAATTTTCGAAAGGGGAAACAAGCAAAACATCAACCAATCTCCAAACTCAAATTGCACTAGATTCATCTTCATAACATCAACAAATTACCAACACAAATTCTGATCATCAAAGTAAAACAACAATTCACATCTACGCTAGGGTGAATGGCGATTGATTAAAGCTCACGTAACTTACAAATAACAAACGTCAAGTAGAAAACCCTAAGAAGCATATAAATCCGATCATAAAAGGTGAATAGACGACGGATTACAGGCAAAGCAGAACTTAGTCTAAGTTAAATTGCACAACAGTGAATCGGCAAGAAAGTAGAGCAGGTAAGTGAAATTGAAATGCTTCGATGAAGAATAGATGAGACAAACCAGAGTTGTTCATGTTTGGTGATGCAGATGAAGGTAAGAATCACAGTGTAATTCTGGTGGAGTGGTGGGTAATGATTGTGAAGAAACTACAGAATGAGAGGCAAATGAGCGAACGGAATGATAGTCGGGGCGGTGATGATGATCCCGTCTCGGATGCACAGAAAAAATGGCAGTACCTACTATTTTGTATTGGCAGTATTATATAATCAATTGATATTACGTGACCCATGTTTCTTACTATTTCCGGAAATATAAACTTATAATCGTCATCCTATTTTTGTAATATAAAAATGACCTTAAAATGTAATATAGTTTTCATATACATATTTTGCATATGTTTAGTTTTATTTATTTATTTATTATTATTATTATTTTAAATAAGCCTTTGAATTTATTGTTTTTGTACACGTTCACACCGACTACTTTAGCTTAAGTTATAAGTTTATACATATTTAGTCCTTAATTATTATTATTATTATTATTTGCAAAATAAGTTATTCTTATTTTTGTATAAATTCAGTTATTATGATGAGTTTCTTTAAGTTTTTTTATCACGTGATATCCTAATTGATGGGTTTTCTGGGTTACATCAAAGAGATTTGCACAACGGATTCTCTCATAAACACTTATGGGTACATGCACCCAATAACTCTATGATATTTTCTCTAGTTATAACAACATACTTTATGAAACAAAACTAACCTATAAAAATCAAAAAAACACAAGGCTAAAACATATACCTTTTGCAACAATTTGATGATGCAAACAACTCTTTTGAAAAAAATTATTGGAAAGTAAGCTCCAATAATGTGGAAGCCTCTAATGGTTCACACCCAACCCTAAGAAAACCATATGATCGAAATATGGGGAAAGGATGGAGGAGAAATATGAATTCTCTATGTATGTGTGTAGGGGATCGATTTTGCAAGGGTTATGATCCATATATATATAGCTGCCAGATAACTTAGAAACCTATATTTGAATATTAAAATAATAGTATTTTAATATGATTCAAATCTGTTTCCTTATTTGATACAAGAGGCTTCTCGAATCTCTCTTTTGCCTCCTCAAAACCGTCCATCTCACATAGAGGTTCTAGAATTGTCTTAATTGCTTAACTATTGAACAATTGCAATTCAACCCTTAAACCTTTAATTAATTCTAATTAATCCAAAATTAATTTCCAATTAATTATGATTAATTCTTAATTAATTATTAAATATATCCAATTAATATATTAATTATATAATATATTAACAAATCATTTTGTCTCTCTTCTAATATCAATCATAGCTATTTTCTAATTATGATGGCAACCTAAAAAGGACTTTACTTTTATTTACTAAGATTATACCAATTTAGTTAAAACCTTAGACACTTTAGTCCAACAATCACCCACTTGGATAAGTCGCCAACTACTATTGCAAGTATAGACTTTGAATAACCAGTAAAGAGTGCTTTCTAAAGCCACCGTCAAACTCTGATATAATCAAACGTTGGCCCTAAGATAAGTGATTAACTATTCATTCGTTATACAAGATATCGTATGGAGACAAAACATGAATACAAATCTATTTTATAGTCTAAGATTTCGTTTCCCTGTTTCCGATTTATGATAACTAGATTCAGACTACTAATTGATCACATCAATTTAGTCTGGGGAAGGCCTTGCACATAAATGTCAACATTAAATCACCGAGGGGCCCAAAAAATATCATTTTTTCTGTTAAGACAAAAGGAACGAATAAACTTTGACTATATAATCATAACATTTACTCATCATACCATACATGGAATTACATTTTATAACATCCAGTCACATATGCATTGATGCAAAACCAACGCACAACAGACTTGCAAACTATAACTTATATATCTCTATTTTAAGAATAAAAGATATTATCATCTTAGAATTACTCATGATTGAATCCATGAAGTAATATTTAAGTATGAGTTTAACCAATACTTAAAATCCTTATTTCCAACTACTGATGAATATTGCATCAATCCCTATGCAATGTCCATCTTATCAGCCTCTATACCTCCTAAACCTTAATCTCGACCCCCTAGCCACCATCTTTGAGTTCTTGAGCTCTTGTGAGGAGTCTTGGTGTGTTCTTATGTAATTTGATAAGACAGAAGGTTGTTGAAGAATCATCACTTGGAGTGGAGCTTGGAGATCTATAATCTACACCTCCTTTGCAACTTATTGAAGGTAAAAAGCTCTTGTCTTGACATCTCATTGGGTAGATCTGGTTTGGAGTAATTTATGGAATATTTTGGTCTCTTTAGGTTGTCCTTATGATAATGAGATTGCTCCAGGAGTGTGGTCACTAGATCTGGACGTTTTAGGTGTCCCAAATGCATAAAAATGTAATCTTGATGGTTGATATCAAACCATGCATGAATATTCAGTTCTTTTGTTGAAGCTGTGAAGCTAGGGCTTGGATTTGGGACCCATTGGGCCATGCAAAAGCTCAAAGTTAATGACTTTATGGATTAATTTGGAACTAGTTCTGAGAACTAGGCATGTTTGCTTAAAGGTTTAAGACCTTTTCTAGATGGATTAAGTGCATACAGTGTACGCGGGGCGTAACTCTTGGTATGCTGTGCGTATTGGGTCAACACCCCTGTGGGCTGGTCAAGATCTGAAGTACGCTGGGCGTACCAACTGAGTATGCAGTGTGTACTTAGTCTGTATGGACTTCTTTAACTTATTGACTTTTTGACCTTTAACAAGAGTTGACTGATGGGTATTTTGGTACCTTTTAGGAAATTGGGCCTTCTTGGATTAGACCCATGTCGGGTTTTTGGACCCAATTTGGGAATTAGGCCATATTGGGCTTTTGTTGCTTTTGGTTTGGGCTTCGGATTTTGGGCCAAGTGAGGAAAGGGTAAAATGGTCTTTTACCCTAGGCCTGGGCTAGGTATCTTAGATTATTGGTTATGGGCTGAGGCCCATTGTTAGTTAAATGTTGTTTTATGATGATAGCGCGAAGATTTACCAGGCTAGCAGGCAAAGATTTATCTGTGTGATTCAGCAGTTAGAGGTGAGTTTCCTCAGTGTGTTTAACGGGTCGAAAGCACCAATGCCGACTCATGGTTTATTATGTTAGGATGCTAGATGTATGTTTAACTATTTCATGTGTTATGTGTTGGTATGCTTACCCGACAAGACCCGATGCCGGGCGGGGCCCGATGCCAGGCGAGGTCTGATGACTGACATATCTGTATACCGAGCGGGGCCCGATGTCGGGCGTGACCCTATGCCGGGAAAGGCCCGATGAAGGGTGGGGCCCAGTATGTAACATCCCAATTTTCAAGACCAAAAATTTTGTTTTTAATTATCTTACTTATAAAACAGTTTACTAAAAAAAACATCGTCAATATCATATAAATCCACAAAACCATAATCACATGTCTCAAAAATCATATCATCAATAGTAGTAATGTCAAAGTACAATCTCATGGATCTCAAAATGCGGAAATCATGTGTGTACAATGCGCTGCTACCGTGCCAACTCCTTCCCCTTCGACGAAGAGGTACCTGAAACCAAAACTGAAAACCGTAAGCACAAAGCTTAGTGAGTTCCCCCCATCATACCACATACCATACAACAAATATACTGTCGGGCGATTCTGGGGTGTCCGACCTACCTTGCCAGGCGATTCTGGGGTACCCGACCTACACTGCCAGGCAATTCTGGGGTGCCCAACCTACTCAAGTCAAATAATTCTGGGGTGCTTGACCTACCCCGTCAAGCAATTCTGGGGTGCCCGACCTACCATTCGGTCCTTACGACCGTACTCGGGGACTATTCCCCCTACTACCTCCTATCACATAACATCATATCATACTAACATATAAACATATCAGGTAGTAGCAAACCTAGATGGTTATCACAAAGACAATCATCTACCAAACAACTCTACTAGTGGGCCAGCCTTGGTGCCTTAGACCCACTTCTACTGGAAGGTAACTCACCTCAATGTCGTGCAGTAACTAAACTGTCCTCGATGTTGGGATCAACTCCTACACATAACAACCTTCCTTAATTTACCATCACATACTCTTAACCCTTACAAGGGTTACTCAAGTCAAAGCCAAAGTCAAGGTCAACACCTTGGTCAACGTCAACTCTGGGACTCTTATATATATATGGAATGGGCCAAGTTCATTTAGGTTGGGCTAAGCTTTCATGGATGGTCCATGGAGCTTTTAACCCATGGATCCTATGTAAATGAAAGGTCATGGGTATTAGGGTTTACATGGATGTAACCCTAATCCTCCATAATATATAAAGGGGTCCTTGGCTCACAAAATTGGCACAAGTGTGTGAAAATAAGAGTGGGCCGATTTTAGTGTGCATACATATTCTCTCAAGTTCTTCCAAGGTGTTTTGGTGATTTGTGATTCCATTTGAGGCTTCCACACTATTGGGGCTAAGCTCTTAAAGCTTGAAGACATCAAGCTACATCAAAAGGTATGTCATCTAACTAGAACTTTGTAGTATAGGTGCTTCATAATATGCTAGTTAGGATGAAACCTTGGAATAGTTAATATTTGCATGTATAATAGAGAAAACATAGATCCAAGGTTTATAGGGTTGCATGTACACCATAGGAGTGTTAGAATGCTCAAAACCCAACAGTGGTATCAGAGCCAGGTTGTTTTCTGTTATATTGATGCAAATGTTTTATTTTCAAGTTGGAAAAAAAAAGGAAAAAAAAACATGACGTTTGTCAAATTTTAAGATAATTACTTGTTTTGTGAAAAACGAATTATTTGTAAAATTTGAATCATTTGTTATATGAGTTGAATTAGGTCAAATTTAGTAAAAGATAAAATGATATGATTATTTTATTAGTTTTAAAAGTTTGATCTAAATGTTTTAAGGAGTTACATATTTTGTCATAAAATTTTGGAGCTCAAAAGTTTTTTTTAAAGTTGTGATCTTAAGGGTTTTTGAAACTTCCATAAGTTATGGATATGAAAGTTTTTTTTAAAAAAAAAATTTGATTCAAAGTTTTTATGGAGTTACAAAATTTGGTGTTAATGTTTTAAAGAATTCCATAACTTGGTCTTAAGTTATGGAACATGGAAAGTTTCATCATAAAACACCATTAAAACTCATAAGTTATGAAAAATCCAAGAGTTTTGAAAGGTTTCAAAACTTGTCCTCAAGTT